CTGTGCTTTCAGAATTATGTGATGTTAAACCTTTCAGAAAAACAGATGCCTATGTGCATTTTAAATGGAAGATGGTATTTGAAAGCGTGGTTCAGTGGAATATCTGTCTTCACACAGAAAAATATGGCCAGCCAGAGTTACCACAGCCAATTTCAAACAGAAAAATGTTAATCACGCTGATTTCATTGCTGTACCTTAATATTAATTTTGTTTCTTAGAAACTGTATTTCTGGCTCGCAAAGACCTGCCGGCAAAGGAGCCTTGTAGCTTGAACCTTTGCTGTAAGCCAAATTAATACACCATCACATTCTCACTTCTGTGAATGCTGAGATGTTAAAAGCACTATGAATCTTGCTACAGTCTTCAAGGGGTTTTCAGAAGGCTATGAATCAGGTGCTAAATTCTGCAACTGGGGAGATCTGCATCCAAGCCCAGCCTCTGAGGAATATAGCATTAAATTTGATTCAAAGTCAGAGATGGACCTAGATAAGTTGACTCCTCACTGAAATCCCCTGATTGTCACAGTGATAATTTTGCAAACTGTCACATTGAAACAAAATAATTTTATTGGCAAATCTTTGAAGACTTTGCAATGTATTTGGTAAAGTTTCTCAGTAATTCCATGGCAAAGGCAGGAGAGGGGAAAGAAAGGAAAGGACTGGACCATTGACTGTCATTGCCCATGGGTGGTTTTTTGCCTTTTTTTTTTAAAATTGTCCTGTTCAAATCTTGGCTGAGCTATGGCACATGTGATAAGGTTCCCTTTGGTTGCCTCCCTCATCTCCTGGCTAGCAGTGACTCAGCAAACAGCTCTGGTTCATTAATGTTGGCAGCATTCCAGAGTTTCTGGTGTTACAAAGATAAAACATTTGAGAACATGTAAGGCACACAGTTTTTCTTTGGGTTTTGATCTGTTGCCATGCTCTTCACATTTAACTTCAATAGATTTATTTTTTTTTTTTTTTTTTTTTTGTGGCTGGTGGTCGGGATACTCTTTTCCTTTC